CCCTTTATTGTTCAAGCGTGGTTTGAATGCGTAGAAACTGCAAATAGGTACTAAGTAAAAGCTGATGAAAGGAACTGGTAATTTGTTCTGTGACTAACACATTCTACAGTATAATGGTCACTGTATGCATGAGTAGGCATGTATTTTGGAAGCTTAACAATTACTCGGTTGGACACACTCAGATTGAGCTAAATTTTCACCTCGAGATGCATCTGAAAAACACAAGAATGTAGCACTCCAGTTTTCTCTTGAGTAGATCTAGAGGCTAGTTACTAACTTCCAGTTTTCAGGGCTGTTGATTAATCATAGTGTGAGCTGTTAATGCACATTGAAAGGGTTTAACAGGTTTTTCCAGGTACATGAAGTACAGTATGGTATATGTCAAGAGAGACTTATTAAACAATTACAAAAAAGATGATAAATATTATATTAATTTAAGTTTTTATTAGTTTGTGAATTGAGAAGAGTTTAATATGTGTATGTGTAGAAATATATATATACACACACACTCTTTTTTCTTTATATAGTCCAACAGTAACAACTACCTTAAAGAACCTTGGGGCACTTTACAGACGACAGGGCAAATTTGAAGCTGCTGAAACATTAGAAGAGGCAGCAATGAGGTCTCGTAAACAGGCAAGTATGAAAATTCACCTTAATGATATTTCTGCATTGTGGTCATGCAGATTGTCAACTTCCGTAGCTATCGTACATAGAGAACATATAAACTTAGCTATTCAGTGTCTGGTGCCTGGTGTTGCCCTCTAATTTCAGTCTGAACTGGTGATAAACCAATACCATCTTAACACTTGCAAACTGGTTCATTGCTAGGGCAGTGGCATCATGTACCAGGGGAGTGATTTGGGAGTGAAATTATGTGGAAAATGGAGGAGCAGAAAACACTCTGTTGGCCAGCAGTCCTCAGCTGGCTACATGTCCTGGGAGAGAGACTGCAGCTAGGGGAAAATTGAGAGTTTTTGTTGATAATCAATCTCCTTTGCCAGTAATGCTATTCTACTTTTAATAAGGAACTGTCAAACTTATGGATGTTCTGTTTCTGCATACGACTGACTGCGACTGGTGCAGGCCTTCAGAAGACCACTAGAAATTTATCAGTTGTTGTTTCTGTTACTTTTGCAAACTGAAGGGACAGATATTACAGTTTAGGGGAGGACTATGATTCTTTTAATGTGAAGAAGTTCTGTGCTGTCAAATCTGCTATTCAAGTAACCCTTTCTCACAGTCTTAGAAGGTGGGAGAGGTTTATTTTGTTGGGGTTTTACTGGCTTTTTGGTTTTCCTTTCCCTTTTGGATGATTTATACAATGTCTTTTATAGAAGTACATAAGACTGGACAAGCAAACATGACTCGTCAGTCAGTGTTAAAATGGAAGGCAAAGTAAGAAAATATAAGTGAATAAAAAAAACCTTGAAAAGTTCAATTTTAATTTTCTTTCTGTGCAATAGTAAATAAGATTTGTATCTTTTTCATAAATGGTTTGTTTTATTGTTTTTTTTTTTCCTTATATGTAAAATTCTAAAATTCTAAACTCAAATTCTAAATTGAAGTAAACTGACTTATGTGGTGGACCATATCTTTATTGATAATGTAGTGGTTTTATTGTTTATACTAATTTGAAGTTGTATTTTAAAAAATGATACTGCAGTGTCTGCTGTATATAGAAGCAGATCTCTGGAAAAGGGAGATCCTGACAAACCTGGCAAACCTTATGCTCTTCTAGTGAATTCAGCAACAGTTCCCTTTGATATAAGCTGGCCTAAGTTCATTCTTCTACCAAAAATGATGGAAAACTTGCGAGTGTTTGCCAAATAAATGGAATGAAACTGGTAAGAGGAATGTATGACTGGGAGAAAAGTTCTTCAGCAAGGAAAATTCGAGGTGGAGGGAAATAGCTGATACAGATACTTTCTTTTACTGAGGATGATTTTCACATACTTTTAATGAAAATTCATTTTTCATTTGTCTCCTACTCAAATGTGATTTGAAGATAAGAGTGAATGTGCACTGCATCTTACCTGCTTTGGTTCTTAGTTTTACTGTTGCCATTACAGGTGACAAATTTTAGCATGAACAGATACAACCAGGATAAATTGGCGTAATATAGTAGTAATAAGAAGACTGGAAGAAAACTTAGCTTGTAGTTATGTTTCTTTTCTTTTTTTATATTAAAAAAAATCAAGACAGAACACCAACTTTTCAAGTTCAAATTTTTACTGTGAAGCTTGGAATTGATTATTTGGGAATTAAGGATGGGAGGATCTTGCTATTGGAGAAGTCTCTTTTAGAGTCCCTGTTTAATCAGCCTGCTTCTGGCATGCCAGTACCACTGGAAAAACTGTTCCTTGTCTCCATTTTGCATAGAGCCTGCTGGAGGCTTGCTGCTGCTACTTTATTTTTATTAAGCATGCTTCAGATTTTCATTGGTGCATCATAGACCACCTATACCATTATACCATAATATATCACACTACACACAGCGCTAGATTTGGACATGTAGGAAAAAATGCTGTCTTACTAGCAGTGTTTAACACTACCTTTCTATTCTAGGTCATTAAAGTAAAGGAGGACAGACAGAGTTAAGGCATGTCCCCTTTTGAGCTAAAAGCAAAGAGTTTGTTCCCAGATGTGGAAAAGCATCAGTCCTCCACAGCTCTATTCTCCATCACACATTTTTTGTTTGCTTTAGCTGCTGGCATGTATCTGCTAGATTTTTGAAGCCCAGCAAAGTCCTTTGTCCTTCATCTTTCATGACAGAATCAAACAAACCAGCAAACCAGGAAAGTGCAGTTCACTGTGTGTTTCCCGCCCCCGCCTCCTTTTGTTTTTAACATGTGAGGTAAATGAGAGACAATAGCTTTGGAACAGAGCGTAGAGGTTGTTTATGTGATACATCACCTCCTCAGTGGTGATACTAAATAATTTTATGCTTTTCATGTTCCGTGCAGCTAAAGGGTTTGGTGCAAAAGCCAATTTGAGCCTACTCTACTGTCTGAAAGCTCTAGCCACTTTTCTGCACCATACAGCCACATGGAAGTGAAAATATATGATCATTGTATGTTGGTTTCATGCTTCCTTGTGTGTAGAATTCCATTAGGGAGGGTTGTTCTGCTCTTCAGTTAGTGGAAAGCAGCTAGGTGGGAACCAAGAACCTGACTTCTCTATGCCACTAAAACCACTTGCCTCTTCTTATTCATGCACTTTACTTTTAAGTAGAATTTCGGCATGATTTTCACTTTCTGAATTGTGGTAGACTTTACGAATTTGTCGCACAAATCCCCTACTGCATTTGCTGCTGACGTTGCACGGTGAAAGGTGCAGAATATTTTCTTATGTGTAAGGCATTCATGTTTTCCTGTCAGAAAATACCGTTTATGATGTGGAGCAGGTTTATTATAAAGAAAACTGAAAATAAGTATGATTTGAGCTTTGTTACTTTCTATTTTCTGTGTTAAAGATTTTGCCTTTATTTTTAGCACAGGGTTTTCATAGAAGGTATTTTAGCACTTTTAAGATAAAGGATTATTTGGTAATTGATGGGCATTCTTTAACACAAAGTAAACATATTTTATTGACCATGTATCTAGTCTGTTCTGTTATAAACTTATTTTCTATCTGATTTCTTTCTGAAGCATAAATTATACTACTGTGCCAAGTGTTATATGTCAGTATTTTTAAATAACACAACCTGTGCCCTAGGTATCAGAATTCAGACACCTGCAGTTTTCTTTCCAAAGGTGGGTGAATACCGCACTATTTCATAGGTGGAAAACAGAGAATTGCATTGACTGTTCATGATCTATAAATTGCTTAAATATTAAGCTAGCGGCCAAATGGCTTCAGGTAAGTGACATGAACACCTGAGGCTTTGACAAAGCGATAGGGGAGGAGGAGAAGAATGGCAAGTCACTGAATTCTCAAACCACCGAACTGTCTGTCCACTTCATGCTGTGTCAATTCCTCCAGTGTATAGAGGGCAACTCATCTTGACTGCCCTTTGAAGGGAGAGTCAGGGTAATGGAGCTATAGGTTTGATTGACTTCTTTCTTCATACGGTTATTCCAAGTTGTAGATTAATACGTTTCGTAATAAAATAAAAACCTTTTCCTATTTTACCTAATTCTCAGGGTCTTGACAATGTTCATAAACAGAGAGTTGCTGAAGTGCTGAATGACCCCGAGAGCATAGAAAAAAGGCGAAGCCGAGAAAGCCTCAATGTTGATGTGGTAAAGTACGAGAGTGGTCCTGATGGAGGCGAGGAAGTGAGTATGAGCGTAGAATGGAATGGGGTAAGTACAGTACACAGTTTAAGAGAATAGCCTAGATGAATTATCACGATAACACATAGGGTTGTCCATTCACCAGCCTATTGTGTTTTCAGTAGTTTCTTGGTTGATCTACTTTGTATTTTGTAATTTTGCAGAATCAATTAAGAAATGAAGAGTAACGTTTTGTTTTTCATAACATGTTAAAAAATTGTAATATTTTAAAATTTTAAAACATCCTTTTTGTTGTTGTCCTGAATGGTGGAATTTCTTCAAGAATCCCAAGCAGTTGTATTTAAGTTGTTTAATGCTGATTGAGTGTCCTGGTTATGGTCTGGTGTACAATTGCTTGTCAGTGGTTTCTTTTTACTGGTAGAAATACTCTGGCAATTAACTTTTTGCTTTTTCCTTTTGATGCCGTATTTGCCTGTATTTTAAATGTTTCTTTACTGCATCTGTTGGAATCACAGAGAACGTTTGCTATGGAGATGTATTAAGTGTTAGCAGTTTTAAAGTCATCTGTCTAACACTAAAATAATTCCAACCTCTTCCTTACCCAGCTCGTTAGAGGAAAGAACGTAACTTTTCAAGCTGCTATGCAACCCATTTTAAGAGGCAGTGCCATCACATAACAATGCGATAGTAACTTCACGTTTCCTGAGTGAAGTATTTAATACCACTTTTCCGTATTGGAATTTGACTGAAGTCAAGGCTTGTTCCTATTTGTTTCCCATATATTGGCTTCCCTGTATAACACAGATTGTCATAAAGTAAAAACATACATATAATGTGATTACATATGCATTTTTCTAACCATTGTTTTCCTTTATTTGAAAGACAGTGCAAGCTTTCAGTTATTGATCTGGCTTATGTAGTTGTTTGCTTCTGTCACCAGCTTTCCCATGCTTTATCCCATTGCTGGCAATGGGATATATAATTGCACTGTTAAGTAACTCCCAGCTGCAGTTCTGCTGAAAATATTCTGTTAGATTATAAAAGTGCTGTTGCCTGCTTTTGCTGTATGGGAGGGGAAGTAGCCTACTTTGCAATACTGAGTGTTCTGAAGTTTCATTTCTCCTACAATAGCTATGGGCTTTTTTTCCATCTTTGTTTTTTAGTCACATGAGACAAAGTTTAGCATTCCAAAGAAACCTTGATAAAACACATACTGCTTTAAGACTAAAGGAGCATGTTCTTTCCATCTTTGCTTTTGTCTCTTTTATTATTGTTTTCTTGGCATTGGTGTTCTCAGTGCCAAGACAGTCAATCAGCATCTATTGTGAATAATACTGCATCATTAATAAAGCCAAAGTGAGGTTGGATAACTCTTTTTTTTTTAATTCTCATTTTGCCCATTCAGCGTTAGAACTGTGTACTGTACTCCTCCCTTAATTTTCGCTGTACTTTGCATGACTATATGTTCTAAATGGATTAAACTTTTTTTCTGTTATTGACAATTAAAACAAGCATGCAGGTTTTGGATTGAAAAGGCCTTCTGGAAAAGCAATAGACAGTATTTCTAGGTCAATATTTGAATCAAACTCAGTGATAAAATTTGTTGATCTGAAAAATTACATTTTGACCAAGGCAAAGAAACTCTTCATTTTTAGTGTGCTGAAGTGGCATTGCTTTATTCTCATCTTCGTGACTTCTTCTTTTTCCCCTCTTAAGAGAAGGTATTTTGTATTACATCTTTTACGTAAAGTGGGCAACTCCTCTCTCCCTCTACCCTACTAGTGTTTCTGAGTGCTGTTCTTCCCTCTACTTTACATCGTGTATGTTTTTTTACCCACGTATGCTCCCTCCAGACAAAATATTCTGTTTCATAAAGTATAGTAGAATTTTTTTAATCAAGCAGATAATTCTGTGTGCAGAGCCTGAAGAGAGGCCTGCCTTTTCCCTTTAAATACTTCTGAAGTGATCAAGCTGACTCATGTTTGTGGCTGTCAGAGATTAGGTGGCATGTGTAAAGCAGCAATCTTCAATGGAAGAATTGTGTTGGAAGATTTATTGTAATTAAGTGACTTCCATGTGGAATGTAATCACTATTAAGCACCATATGCTTTGATGTAATGTCTTAGATTCTTATAAAAAGAACTGAAGTATCTATTGGAAGTAAATCCATCATTAACTGTTAAAACAGAGATGCTAAGTGAGGTCGTGTATTGCATGTTTACATGCTTCATATGAAGTCCATCCCTTAAAGTTAACCGAAGATACTTCAAAATGAATTTTTAAGACAACATATTTCTTTGCAAGGTAGAAATCCCAAGATTTTTATCCCTTACTATGTTTGTGTATTAAAAATATCAGTGGGTGTCTGGCATTTTTGTAAATTGATCTTGCAGCCAGTTGGAGGACAGATAAAAATCTTCGTGGTATGATAGTGTTTAATTTAGGTAATGTCTTTAGTGTGAGGAAGTATCTTTTATTATTCTAAACCATATGCTTCAAAAAGACAAGCTTTTGGGCACATCAGTCTGCTTTCAGGTGTGAAATGAAAGCAAGAAATATCACTGCTATAGATAGCTGGTTGCTCTTGTTTACTAAGAAGTGTCAGAGCAGCAGATAGCTACAAAGTACTGGAGGTAATAGTGGGGAGGTGTAAGCAAAAGTAATAAGGTGATTCTCATTCATAGTGACATAAAAATTGGCAATTAATCTTTGCTATAGAAATGGCTTTCTGTGTGATTTTTTTTGTTTGTTTGTTTACACTGGATTTAGGAAATTTTTTTTTTATCCTAAGCTCATGTTTTAAAGGTGCTTTGTTAATCATGCAATCAGTGTTTGACTCAGAAGTTCAATGTTTTTATTTCAGATTTGAAGTACCCAAAAGCTTGTCTGATTATTTTATTATGCTAACCTAATGTTCTGGTTAGCATAATAAAAGTTATACTCTGTATCTGCCAAATTTGTCTTGCCTTTGTTTATTGGATCATTATCACTACTATTGCATCACTGGTGTAAGACCATAGGAGTGATTAGCCCTTTCACTGATCTAATACTTCTAATTGGAATTTAGACTTCAATTTATTCAGTCCTGCAAAGCTGAAGTCTATTTTTAAAAGTGTGAACAATACATGCAATTTAGTTTGAAACATAAATACCTGTTCGGATTTTGATTTTCTAATCACTTGGTAGCAAGGCATTTTGCCATTTGCAAGAATAATTTTAATGACTGTTCATTCCAGTTGCTATAGGTAAAGCCTCTCAAAAACGTTATCTTAAGGCTCTTGGTAATGGTTTCTATACTTAACACCGAGAATGGAAAGCATGTAAATTGAACCACAGCTTATATTTAAAGGTGGATTCTTTCAGTTCCCATTAGAGAAAGTACAGAAGTTTCCACTATGTTAATAGATATACACACACATATCTTCTGAAAAATACTTGTGAGGTCCATTGGATTCTAATTCCGTAAAGGAATGAACAGAATTTTGTCTGGAGGTTAGGGGAAGGCCTGTTTCTTCTTGCAGTTTTGTTTTGAGGAAAATTCCTGATAGAAGTTAAAGCTGAAATGAATGCACCATGCTCTGTTCCTTTCTTCTGTGTTTTTTTTCTTTATTTTTATTTTTGTGTTAGTCAACTGAAAAAAAATCCTTTGTTTACAAAATGTAATACTAAAGCTATCCCTCCTTAAAGGTGTTTTGTTTTTTATACAAATGGTAACTTAAAGAACACACAGCATCATCCTCGCCCGTTTGTAAGTTGTGTATTAGGGATGTAGGCAAAGCTGTGTAAAGACACGCTCTGGAAATTGCAAGGACAGTCCAAGTACTGACTCTGGAAAAATTGTTTTGAATGTGACCTAGAAATACTGTAAATGTAACTGTTCAAAATTGAAAACTGTTGAATTTTTCCCAACAGTTTCATTCAGTTTTTCTCTCTCCGTTTCTGACAGGCCTAGATGCCTTTTGTGATTCTTATACTGTCTCCTGCATGACGGGCGTGCACCATCTTCAAGCTTTAACTTCTCTCTTCAATACTGACTGCTGTGTTTTAGCAAACCCCTTAAGATTCTTGTCAGAGCTACACTTCCCTGTAAACTGGCCATTCCTTCAGTGCTGGTGTCTTTTTTTGGTTTTTCTATTTCTGTACATGTGTAGCTTTGCCAGATATGTATCTAGTCATATAAAATGTTATTACAACCATTTCCTGTGTAATACATTAGTGTAAGCAAAAAAAAAAAGTAACAAAGAACTTTAGCTATTCACTATGGAAAAAAAAAAGGTAGTTAAAAGTATCACACAAGGTATTATTGAAATGGCATGACGGTGATCTTTACAGAAGAAAACCACAACAAAACCCGTTAACAGTAAGGCATGTTCTCAAAGTGCTTTAAAATGTATTTAGAGACCTATTACATGGTTAACATCAATGTGGAACTCTGGATGTCTTCACTTATGATTATTCTGAAGTAGCATTGCTGTTTAGTCTTTGTGTGAGATTTTGGCAATTATGCTTTTCTCTACTAATCTTGGTGTTCAGTGATTTGTGTATTTGTCTTTCTAACTTCTAATAAACTCACTCCAACTCAGGTGTCTGTCTGCTTAGTAGTACTTTACTTTCTTCTTTTACAATTCTTTCATAATCACATAGGATTTCTATGAAGGAGGAAGTGGTCACTTCTAATCTTACTAAACTGTTGGTTTTGGTTTGTTTTTTTTTTTTTTTTTTTGAGTAAAATGTTTAAAAATAGAATTGTCAGTTGGAAGTTTCTTTGGATCAACACAGCAGTGTAAGACATGAATGCAATGTACAAAAAATTAATTTCGTCATGTTTTACATTTTCTTTGAAAGTTAAAATGAAGCATACATGTTTCTGAGTAGAAATATTTTTGTTTAAGGATTTCAGGATTAATTAAACGTATTTGCAAGTAACGTAGATGTTTAGAAAAAATAAACGTTTCTTTCTTAGACTCTGATGGAATGCTTTTGCTTGGGGCTTGTAGTCTGTTAATCACAGTCTGCTTGTATGAAATGGTAACATGGTGATGGTGAATTGTTTGACTACTGTGGTGGGGTTTTGTTAATTATTATGAATCACGACTTGAGCATGTCTTCACATCTTAGAAAACTTTTTTACAGTTTGGAAGGAACCGTTTTGTTTTGGTAAAGGTATAGCTATATAATACTCTGTGTTTAAGTAATTGTACCGAGTATATGTAATAGCAATTTAAAAAAAAAAAATCATCACTGAAACATTTTTGAGCCAGGTTTTGGGGAGGGTGACAAACTTTTGCACTTTCACATTTGTTCAATTTTTTTCAGGATGGCACTGGATCTTTAAAACGCAGTGGTTCCTTTAGCAAACTCCGTGCTTCCATTAGACGCAGCAGTGAGAAGCTGGTTAGAAAGCTGAAGGGAGGAAGTTCACGAGACAGTGAACCAAAGAATCCAGGGTAATTATCTATTCTTAGCTGTGCTGGTGTGCCCTCGTTCTGTGCCCCCACTGTAGTCTAGGGCGGTATCTGGGGCAGTGTTTTCTTCTCTGCTTGGTTAGCTGCATATCCTATAGATTTATATCTTAAAAATAAAATAGGAAATAACTTCTTAAACTTGTAATGAAAGCTCTGCAAAATCTGAGGAACTATTATTTGCTTTTAAGAGTTAACTCAATTTTAACAGTTTTTTTTCCATTTTTACTGCTTTAGCCACTTGAAAAATAGAAAAGTCCTAAAAGCATTATTGATGTGTTAGTTACCTGCAAAATCCTCCTTTTCGCACAGCAGTGAAGAATACTAAGTGTTACTGATTTTTACAATAGAAGATTAAATACAGTAAACCCACAAGTAACATTCTTGATATAGCTTAATATCTTGAAATATTGTTCATAGAGCTTTATATATTGCTGTGGCTATAAAGAGAATTACTGACTTGAGCCCTTCTCAGTTTCTGGTTTTGGAAAACCCGTATTTCAGAGGGCAGAGGAAAGTGTTGAAAAACTTGAACCTAGTTGTGCATCTAACATTTTGTCCTCAGTGAAGTCAGTGGCAAGAATTCAAATTTTAATGAATCTGCTCACTCCTTCCTATTTACCATGTGATTATGGATTTGGATGTATGTAATATTGCTAATAAACACATAAAAACTCACATCATTTATTGGCTGCGGCAGAGAAATTGATGTTAAAATGTTGTACTATTTTTCATAGTAGCACTCGTGGGTGTTGCCCTTCTCCCCCAACATAACTATAGTCAGTTTTGCAAGGGTTTGTTCCATTGCTGTGGAAAACTGGAACTCATTTAGTTGACAGGAAACTGTATGACACTGTGAATTTGAACTTATGCTTTAAAACAGATAAACTGGCTAATTTGGATTAACTTCTGATGGAGCAACTGCATCTCTGAGTAGTATAGTAGGTGATGATAATGGTAATATCTGAGACAGAGAAGGCAAGGTCTCAGTGTGGTTTTGAAAGTGTTCCAGTGAAGTTCTGCCTTATTGTTTTTATGTGGCTGTAAAATATTGTGTACAGCTGCAGTACACACAGAATTCTCTTCCTTGCATATCTGTTTCAAATTCAGCCTTATCTGATTTTTAGAATTGTTAATTGAAGTTTTACTCTCAGCTGCCAGAGACTTGATGTTGAAAGCACTGAACCAAATTCAAGGTCAAAAATAGCTTTGCATTTATTGACACATTGTTAAGAACTGCCTCTGAGATGATAGATTGGGAATAAACTCTGAAGAACATGTAATCAGAAGAAGGAAATATGTAAATGTAAAATGCTTTAGGGAAAACAAGCAAATGGAAGCCAAAATAAAATAAAAGGGATTTCCTTCTTTGCCTTCAGTATTAACATTTTTATACGTTGGTTTTTGGTTTTCTGTTTCTATTCACTTCTCTGTAGAGTTCATAGATCATAGTTCAGGTATATTCTTGCATGAATAGATGCTAATATTGTATGCTTTTGTATGAATAGATGCATATATTCATAGCTAATTTTGCATTTTTCTCCTTATTTTTGTGAGACATGGAAAGATTTTCAGTTTCTTAAAAGCCAAGAGTTTTATTCCTTGTTCTCTGTAGTAAGCAGAGCTAACTTTTTCTGCAGGTAAAGTAACTGTGATTATAGGTGTAGAAAATTATGCTTAATATATAACTGAAGACATTTGGCTTTGCAGTGTCTGTAAGAACTCCTCTGCCTTTTTATTGTCTGTGCTTCTGCGTTGGTTAAATAACACTACCAAAGTAATCTACCCACATGAACGTTAATTATTTTGTGGGGTCTGTATTACCAGATAAGATTTCCTCAAAGACAGACATTAATGTGAAACAAATTTGAAAACAAAGCAATACCCTTCTTGCTTTCCCTTTTTGACAAAATATTCTTGGTTTTTTTAGATGTTACTGTTGTTCACAAAGAATTATTTATTCTTAAAACTTGCAGTAACTGTATTGCATTGACAGGCTTTTATGTAGATATGCACGTTGAGTGTGTAAAACAATAACTATTACAATTTCTGTTCTTGTAAGGTACAGACTTTTTTTGATCTTAATTTATATTTGCATTTGTTATTAAAACCAGCTAAGATTCCTGGTAGTAAACACCAGCTTTGTAGATCATGAAGCATAGCTGTACGTACTGAATTTTCAAGAAGTCATTTTGATTTCATTTTTCTGAAAAAACTTCAGTAAATAAAGTTAATTTTTTTTTTCTGCTTCTGAACTTAGTAAAAGGGTTATTCAGTTTTTGTTATGCAAACCTTTGGTCTTTAGTGTGTTTGCTAGCTGAATCTTACAACACTGACATAGCATACATATAAATCATATTTGCTATGAAGTCAGCCACTCTAGGTAGAAGAGGTACGTGCCTCCCTCCTTACCAGTACACCTCCGTGTTCCCTGCCTATGTCTCTATGAGCACCTTATTTTGATATTCATTTACACCTCTTGCTTATACTGGGCTTTTGTAAATAGTAGTTGACAGTGCTGGTATGATTCTGAATGAGAACATTCAAATAGAAATACATTTAATGAAAGGAAGACTTAGTTTTCATGTTGTTGCTTGATAGAGAAGGTTGAAGAGAATGAAGTGGAAAACTCATCAGGGAAAGTTTTTTTTTTTAAGTCATACAAAAGCCTTTTTGACAAAGAACAATCGTTAAAGAACTGTTCTTTGAAACATACAATACCTGAAGCATGGTATCACCTCTTTCTTTATCATCTTTCAAAGTTCAGTTCTGCAGTAATTTAACTTTGCTAGTGTTAGCTTTGATTTTTCTCTTTTAAAATTTTGATCATACAACAGAACAGTTAAGATTTGTAATTTAGAAGTGAGGAGAGGAAAGAGCTTTCATTATTGCTATTACTTATGCACCAGAAAAACAACTGCATGTTATTTGTGCAATCATGTTTCTAACATGGAGGGAATTAAAAGTGCATTTGCTAGGCTAAAGTTCTTAAGTATGTTGATTTTAAAAATACAAACAAACAAAAAACACAAACCAGCCCACCACAAACAAAAAACCCAAAAGCAAACCAGTATCTCATGTGTGATTAAAAAAAAATTATTTTTTTTTTAATTGGCACTTCAGCAAGAACCTAAAAATACTTGTGTAAATTTTTACTAGTGGGTTTTCTGTTTCCCTGGAACGATTTCCATAAACCTTCATGCTCTTCTTGAGAGTTTTGTGTAATGATTTGTTTGTGTTTTACAGATTAACTTACTTTGGCTTCCATTTATAACCTCTGCTGTACATGTTTCCTTAAATAAATGAGAGGTGTATACCACGCATGAGTCCTTGCTTTGTTGTTGCTAACACTCATGTCAAATATTTTAAACTCTGTGCATTCTAGCTCTTGAAATGTGTAAATTTAATGCTGGGAGAAAACAGTAAGCCTGTGTTATGTGGCAGCCAGTTCCTGCGTTTTTTAGTGTTTTGGTTCGTTATTCTGCTAAGCCTTTGCTTTATGAAAGCATTTAAAACTTGTGCTTGATTTTGACTGCTAGTAGTCTTGCTTCAGTAGAAAGAAAAACTGGTTAATATCTAATGTGATCTGTATGGATAAACCTTTCCATGTTATTGGAAGGTATTGGGAACTTTGCATCAGCCAGTTGTCTCTAAAAGCTGTAGGTAGCACTGCAGGATTAGGGCCTTGTTGTGTTGTAAATATTTCATCAAATATATATTCAAAGTACTCATGTAGTAGTTTGGAAATCATTAAAGGGGGAAACAAAAAAAAGAGTGAAAAATCAAGGCACACCTAGTACATTCTGAGTAATGTACAGACACTGGGCTAAAGGACATCAGACATTCCTGTTGCAGTCACCACGATGATAAGTAGCTTAAGGCTAATTTTGAATTTCATTATACACACACTAAAATACTTTGTTCAGTCTTGCGTATGTTTGAGACATGCAGATGAATTATTAATGCTCATCTCAAACACCAGTAGATATTACAGTTAATGCAGTGATATTTTGACTGTCAGTGGCTCCTGTGTAGGCGATTTCCCCCCTCCTCAGCTGTTGCTTTCAGTACAGTATTCTTGGGTTGGTGTTACCACTGCTCAGAGCGTTGTAAAGCCAAAAGCATAACCAAAGTTAATAGCAGCAACTGTCTTATTTCCCCTCACTTCTCAATGTTTAAAAGATTTTTAAATGCTTTTTGAAATTAGATTCTGGAGACTTAACTAGGTGAGGCAGAAAGTACTAAACTAACATTTGTTGTAGCTTTTCCAAGTTAAATGCTGCCCGTGTTGACAAACTTATTAATGTTTTGCCTTTTTTCCTAAACTGTTTGAATGCTTTGAAGCTTTTGTAAGAAGCTGCATAAAATTGAAACTGAGAATTACCTAATTAAAAATCAATGCTACATCAGTATATTAATTTGATGTGCTTTAAAAATTGAGATTTTGAGTTGAAATTAAATCAGTTGCCTGAAATGTTTAAGCTCTGAGGAGCTTGTAGTTTTTTTGGTTTTACATGAATTTAGAACCAAATATAAACATATTCTAAGTTATGTAGTTATCTTAAAGGGTGTCCCTCAGATCAGTTTTGGGGCATTGTTCAAAATCCCTTAACCGTGCGTTGCTCGTTGTTATACTTGTGTTTGTAGAGCTGTTAGTTTCCAGCTGTTCTGATTGGTTTATCCTTGCATGTTCACTGTCCTGGTTGCAGCATGAAGCGTGCCAGTTCTCTGAATGTTCTTAACATGGGTGGCAAGGCTACTGAAGATCATTTTCAAGTAAGAAACCCTACAATACTCTTACAAAAATAGGTATCATTGGTAGGGTTTGGGATAAAAAGAGTATGATAAATAATATAACAACAACAAACTCCTAGTGATTGGTAAGATCCTACTTCAGTAAGGTGTTTAAAGCGTATGCTTAAGGCATCGTTCCATAACACTTTGGTGAACTATGCTTAATTTTAAGCAAGGGCTTAAGTCCGACCAGTAAAGAGCATTGGCTTTTATGATACCAAGCAGTCTCTGGCTTTGGACCTTCTAACTATTACAGTAGATATGAAACTTCTGGATTCTTACGTTCTTGTAAACACTAATTAAAAAACCAAGAACTTTTAAATCCCAGTTACTAAGTATTTTTTTTCTTCAGCCTCTTTATTGTAAAGGGCCAAATCATCTTAACTGCTGTACATTTTCAGATTCCCTTAAATGCGACTTCAGTTGTTTCTGAGGTTGTACAGGAGAAGTCTCTAAAAGGTTGTCTGATCTATGTTATGCTTCTGCTAACACAAAACCTAATTTTGCTTAACTGTATATGGTGTGTCCCGATTGCTACTCCCCATTTCCTGTTTTTACCTAATAAGTCACTGTTTCTTATATTGTCAAGTAAGCTAGAAATGTTCTGTGTTCTAAACACTGTTGTGCATTTTACTAACACAGTAAGAGCAACTAATTTTAGGAAGATAAAATTGCTTCTGTACTAACAAAACTAAGCTTCTGTACATGAAGATCTTCATCACTATTTGTCCTACAGTAGCAAGAACGCCCAAACTGTATGGCTGTCACTGTTGAGTGGCATAAAGGTGTCTTAACTATATTACCTCTTAACGAATGTACCGCCGAGTTTTCTGTGGTGTGGAACGTCTGCAAAAGTTTGCTTAGAGTGAGCCTCAGCCAAAAAAAAAAAATCCAGGATAAAGCATAACTCTTTGCAGCGACAGCACCAAGGGATCAAAATGTCATACCCTAGATGCCCCTAAACTGGGTCCTTGGTATGTAACTGATGCAACTTCCAGAAGACTAATTTATTGTTCGTGTGTACACTGTGACACTAAAATAAATTCTCATTTCTTGTGAACTTCTCTCTAGTTCACCCGCTATAGTCACTCAGGGCAAGTCCCCTCGAGGGGCTCTTGCATTTCTGGTAAGACTTAGGTCAGGATTGTCAAGGGTGTACATACATAGCGACAGATCTCTTCAGTTTTGCTAGTTGAAAGTTGGGGAAAAAGATGTTTATTAGAACATGGAAGAGTGTTCCCCTGCTCAGCATGAACGAGGCCAGTTCTCCGTAGTTCCTTTGGTTTGTTTGTTCCTGCTTGTTAAAACTATTAATTTTGTTTATTTGCTTGGAACTGTCTGGACATCTGCTTAATTTGTTTGTTTGTTTGTTTTCCCCTTCACACAGGAACGAAATAATTGTCTGACAGACTCGAGAGCTCTGAGTGTCAGTCATACCGATTTGGCGCACTGAGATTCTTGGACAGAAGCTAGCTAATATTCCTTGGTGAAAAAAGCAGCACTGAGACCTTCAAAGCTTTGGTTCCTCATCGTTACGTATAGGAACGCCTAATTTGTAGATTTTGTTGTTTTTTTTTTTCAATGGACTGCTGTTTTTACTTTTCTAAATAGGAATGATTTTAAACACAGTATTAGTGGAAATTTTCTTCTAAAGGAAAACTATATAGATATATATTGCTCATTGCACTGCTCCTGTTCATGCTACTTACGTTGATTTCTTCACTAGATCTGAATATAACAGCAGCCAAAAAAACAGTAAAAACCACAAACATATTTAAAGCATACCAAAACGCAAAGATGTTTGAAAATGCAGGCAAAATTAGATGTGTAGCAGTAAATATATACAGTGCTGGAATGAGAAAAGGATAAATTTATGTGCATTACTGTATAAATCCAAATTGAGCATACTGTATTGGTGGGGCTTTCCTTTGCACCACAGGTTATTGTAATGTTGAAACCTTAGCTGGCAAAACAGCACTTAGACACGGCTTACTTAACCACTAGATTGAGCTATTAAATTTTGCAGAAGAGATGGTTGGGGTTACGTGATGTATACATAGCATGAGTAGCAATCCCTGTGACCATAACTTTGATACTTGTTGATATAAGTCTTAGGGCACAATAATTGATGGAGATAGGATGGTTCACGTCGATCAGGAGGGATGGAAGATGTTTTGACCTTTACCTTGTATGGTTGATGAATACTGAAGTTTTGGACTGCAACTGTCCCAGAGCAGCTGCTGTTGCTCTTGGGGAGACATCAAGCCTCAGGTTGACTTTCTTGCTTGTCCACTGGAATTCACAATCCCATTCTCTGTTTGCTGAAAGTGCTCCACCATTTCCTTATGCTGAAATCCTGCCTTGCGCCGCAATAGCTGATGACAGCAGAAGCAGGCGACTGCACTCCAGGCTATTGCACTGTGGCGTAGCTGCTGTGCAAAGGACCACCCAAATCTGAAGGGCCCCAGCGGAAGCACTAAATGGCCGTAAGTGGGCAAGCAACTCGTTTGACCACACATCCATGTTAAATCTACTTACGGTTAATATATACGCTGTCTGTATACAGGACTGCTGCTGGAACTAAGTATGTATGTTTTGAGTATTTTATAGACATTAGTATTTCCTTTCGCTTTTCTGTAAAGCTTGTGATTTTGTTCATCTTTTGTAAAAAGTCTTACTCATGTGAAGTTGGATAAGAAAGTAAAAAAAAAACCACCAGTGTGTGCACAAATGTATTTGTGGTCATAGTTGTGAGTTGGAAAATGCAGAATGAAACTAACTTTGGGAGAAGCTGGAATACTCATTCAAGGTTAGCGCCAGCTGAAGAAGGTAAAACATGGGGACATAAGCAAGTTTTAGTATTTCAACACGCTGTGAAGAGTCATTAGAATTAGTACTTCGTAGAAGTATTGGACTGGTTTTGCATCTGGTTTTAAGTTGTGTTACAATACCTGATGCAAAAAGTTGTATGTGTAATGCACTTGACTATGTTTACCAGGAGGTACCTTAATAGCATCTCTTTATCGAAAGCTGCATATGGTATACTTGCTATAAAGGACAGTTTAGAAGCGGTGGGAATGATGCTGCTAATATGTAGACGTTTTAGCACAAAGTAGTGCAATTCCTTAATGAACTCGAGCAACAACAACTTGTTGTTGCTCAGTTATCTTAACGATATATACTCATATAGTGTAGACTCTCGAGTTTTAATCTTTTTATTAAGAGCTTTTTATATAAAAATATACATAATATATATATTTTTTTTTTCCTCCCCTAAAGCAAAGCATCCTATATGTACCTATTGGTAAATTACGTTCTCTGTGCAAAGCCAGGCTGTGCTAGCTTTGCAGAGAGGACTTTACGTCAGGTTGCCAAGCTGGGTGGGAGAACCCTGCCGCGGCCCTCGCTTCACTTGGCAGCCTTCCATGGCATCCGCTGTCCCTCTGGGGGACATCTTCGCCCCAGCCGTGAGAAACTCTCATGGCAAACGCCCCTTGCAGTCAACCCGTGTCACACCGGCACAGTGCTACTGCTCTGGGAGTGGCCCAGCAGGCCTTGTGACACGCTGTTCTGTAGAGCTCCGTGTCTCACTCGGAGACTGCGACAGAAGTTGACTTGCAAAAAACCCCACAAAACTATTTAGACACAGAACTGAATTATGGTAATAAGGAATTACTTCAATTGAAGAATGTGTTTTCTACATTTATCTTTCAACTTTGAAGGAAAGTTATCTTTGCAGCCTCTCAAAAAAAGAAAAAGAACTTGTGTAAATAGCAATAAAATATTTAATCACGCCAAATTACACTGTACGTTAACTTTTAAAATGCAAGACCGTAGAATGGTGGTGGTGATAGTGAGGGAACTTTCTCGTTTAGGATCGTACTGTTGGTGGCGTTACTAGTACTGTGCTTTTAAGTGTTTTAAACCTTTATATAGTATTTTACAGTGTGTTGGAAGACTAAATTGTTGAGCTACTGCTTATTAAACAATTCTTACATTTAAAAGGTTAAATTTTTTTTTTCAGAGAAGAAACAAATTTCAAGATTCCTCTAATCCATAAATGATGACCTCACTCATCCTTACAGTTATGAGCCAACGAGCTATTTGCAGTTTGAGAAAAACTTGTATAAAACCAGTTTTAAGGTCAACATTCCTTATGTTTGCATCATGAATTAAGTACTGTCACGACATGGTTTGTATACATTTAAATTTCAGATGGGCTTTTATGTAAGCTTTTCTTTCTGAATTTCCTCGGTTTCAGTTGTAGCTAACAGTCTGCATAAAATATAAAACCAAAATACCCGATTGTATAATTCTTGTGTATCTTCAATACCAAACTAAATCAACAGCTCTGATGAAACAGAAAACTAGAAGAGACCTTCAGAACTGCCAGACACCTTGGTAGTGCTATTTTGGCCTTAATTGAGCGTGTTTGTCCTTGCCCAGAATTGCATGGGTGAACTTCACTGAGAGCTTAGTAAGGACTCCAGATGAGGCCACTTCCTCTAGGTTCTCCTACGGACAGTGGCTGGTCTGGGGTATGCCGTCAGCAAGGGGCGCGTGTGGGATGAATCGTACATTGAATTGTTACTGATAGAAAGGTGCCTGCTGCCCTTCTGTGTCTCTGGTTGTGCACTAGTCTTCAGGAATATTGGCAATATTTGTTCTTGAGTTTAGACCTTATTAAATATTTTTGTTAAATGTAACTTTTTCATGATTTGCTCCTTTTAGAGGAGTAACTGAACTATTGCTGTGATGTTTGTGCTTGCAGTACTGCAGCGATAGAACATAGCACTTGAATAACCGAAAAACAATTTGGACACGTTACCTAGAGTTTGTACCTTTTCTTAAAACAGAGAACCTCCCCCAAGCCCTCCTGAATGGTAGTAATTTAAAATGGTTTTAAGCTTGAGAATATTTGTGTGGAAATTGTTACCATTTGAATCCAGTAACTTTGAAAGTGGTGTGGTTCTGTTGTAAATACATCGTAAAAGGGGCGTGCAGTGCTTTGTTGAAAGTGTGTTTACAATACTTGATGAGTTCAAGTTCCTTTAGTTTTTGTTATGCAGGTCATGTATTTTGTCTGAAAGCTGCTAAGAGAAAACTGCATTTTTGGTAATGTTAGCCTGTACTGAGAGAATAAATGTTAAAAGACTTGATGCTGTGAAGTTTACGGTTTCATTGTAGCAACTTTACATTGTAACAGACTTAGCCAAGTGTAGAAGTATTAGTATAAACATTGGCTTTTTTAAAAATAGTGTAGAATTGAGGGGAATCTCATACATCTACATTTGATTATTACACCCTTCCCCCCCCTTCACAATAGTATCAGTTCACTGAATCATCAAGGTCATACATTTTTAAAAAAAAAAAAAAAAAAGCCAAAACAGCAAAGCAAGATGCAAACACAGTGCTACCATCTGATGGAGGTCAAAAGACCGGAGTTGTTGGGAAAATGTTCATCCTCGTACTGAAGTTGCAAAACTGTTCTTTAGTTATGGCTGCTTTTAAATAAGATATTGTTTAGAGCATGGCAGTTAGAAGTTCATTTCACACTCCAGCTACATCAGAAACCTTGAAGGTGCTCTAACGGTTGTGCTAGCACACACAATTGAGAGAGGCGCTAAAAACTGCATATAGCATGGAACAAGCATAGTAAAGTTGTTCTTAAAACCAGATCAATCCTTAGGCTCCCTAGATTTACATTCAAGTCACGATTTAAGCATGGAAAGTTACTGAGTCTTTAGCTTTAACGTATGTAGAAGCAGCATACAGCAGTGGCAGTAGGTTATAGTATAATTAAACCCGATGAGGTCTATGCCATCAGGAATGGTGTTTTCTGTTTTCTAGGACCTGGTTTAAAAAACAAAACCCAACAACAGAAACCTATTTGTAATGTCAATGTATCCTTCCTGAGGAGAACTTCCCCCGCTGGCCCAGATAGGTGGATTTCATGTTTGATTTAAAAAAAAAAAAAAAAAACAAACCTGCAAAACAAAACCAGACAACAACCTTCCAAGATTGGCTTTAAGGTGCTGCATTTTGATCTCCATGTGTAGTTACTGCTTGTCACAGCTATGGATGAAATCCCATTCAGAGTTCAGCTGTTTGTCTTGCCCCACAAAACTCTGTTGAAAGTAAACTTCCACAAATGTTATTTGTAACAAATAGTAGTAATTGACTGTGATTTCATCAAGAAACTTGTAATGAGATTGTTTAGTGTGTTTTACTACACGTGTTTTGTTAATAGGTCAGTTGTGTAAATTCTTCCTTTACCAACCGCAAATGAATTTGGTTCTACTTTTCCAAAGCAATGTTTCCCAAACCCTCTTTGATCTTTCTGCTGAAAAAGGCCTCTTTAAATACATCACAGAACTGTAGATTAACTCAAAACTGTTTAAAAGTTTCTCAAGTGTCATTTGATGTTTCTTTTCAAAGTGTAGAAAAATATTTAAATGTAGTCTTGGCAGGATAAAAATTATCTACTCAATACATTCTAGAATGTAAATCTTTGTAAAAATTACTTCAATCTTTTCCTGTATAGAAACAAATTTCAGTTGTGAAATCCAAAGATGAATAAAGCTGTATAAAGGGAAGGTTCTTAAATTGCATTTATTAAAACTTAAGCGTGTTTCACCATTCTTCACATACGGCTTCAGAGAGGGCAGATGCTGCGTTCACTCTTCATGAGGGTTTGCAGCCCCAGAGCTGTACCAGTGTCAGATGAGCAGCATTCTAGATTTCTGGCTGTGGGTGTAAGTAACTGAAGAAAGGGGGTAGAAACACCAGG